AGGTCAACCGGTCCCACACATCAGCGACACAGGAGTAGAGTGCGGCGTTTGATCGGCGATAACTCGCTGACGGTGAGGTCTTCACCACTACACTCTCCTCGTCAAGCCGCATCGAGGGGTACCCTCAGTTGTCCTAGTGCATCACCGGAGCAACCTTGCCGGTAAGCATGGCGGCTCGGTGGTGGCATGTGGTGGCGGACTCGCCGTCTCCGGCGATGACATGGCCAGGCGAGCGCGACTACAGTTTCTACAGACCCTAGCGAAGCTCTATGGTGCGGATCGAGCCATGGTGAAGCGGCAGTGAGCTTCGGCCATGTGCATGGTGGCATGGCGGAGCACAGCGCACGCGACGACGCTTGCCATTCCAACGAGATGGTGGTTGGTGATGGGTCTTCATCATAGGAGAAGGTGCTACGGGTCACGGTGGTGCAGAAACAAACATAGGAGGGGGAAGACGGGATCTAGCGAGGGCCAGCCATGACAAGCTTGAGCTTGTAGCCATGGCAGGCATGCTTGGTGCGGCGGCACATTCCCGCACGATGACAGCGGTAGCAGTTAAGCCGGCTGTGATTTTAGCAACTAGTCCCTACGACGATGACCAGACGAGGGAGAGAGAGGTCGGAGATGCTACGGTGGTGGCTGGCCATGGGCGAGCTCGGAGCTCGGCAGTGCTCCATGGCCATGGCGGCAATGACGACGTGAAATGTGGCTTTACCTCGGCTCAAATGGTGGCACTAGCGGGTCAGGAAGGTAGAGCGGCTCACAACGGAGCTATGGGCGAGGTGGATTGGGTGGTGGTGCTGTGTGGGCGACGAGCGAGCGTGGTGATGGTGCGACGGTAACGGTGCGGTGCTCCGCTTCACTTCGGCGAGCGCAAGAGAGGCAGAGCGAGGGCGAGAGAGTGAGAATGGGCGAGCACAGCGACTTCGCCTCCCTTTTTTCGCCCTGCTGGCCTGACTGGCTGGGCCGACGTCGGCGAGCGGGCGCCACGCGGTGCGCACAACCTAGCAGCGGTCGGCCATGATGCGCTCGGCCAGCCAATTCAAATCGGTCATTAGGACGACTGACAGTGCCACTTTGCACCTCTATAACTCCTAATCCAGTTTGAGTTAGCAAAAAGTCCATTAATAGAAATTGTAGAGCTATAAGAGATCTACAACTGTGCTTAAAGGAGTTTTGTCTAATTCATTATGGTTTTCAAACTACAATACTCCAAAGTAGGCTACTTTGAAACTAAAAACCAGCTTTAGACTTAGCAAAATTTCTAAATTTGAAAACAACATTTCATTGCTAATTGTGGGCTCTATTCGACCATGCTAGGCTCTGAATTAGCTCATGACCCTTAAATAAAATTTGTTACCCCTGTCAAGAACTACAACTTTTATTAAGGGTGCACTGCCATGCAAACACTCTAAGCTACTGTTCTCAATGAAGCGCACGTGAATGCTCGGGACCCAGCTGACGCCGTGACTAGCCACCCGTGGCCCATTGTGGACGACGAGACGCGCAAAAGGCCCCTACCTGGTGCACCAACTGTTAGTGTTTTAAACTGCCGACTAGTAAATTTGTGTTTGGATGGTGTGCTCGGAGGACACAAGGGTTTATATTGGTTCGGGTGGAATGTCTCTACGTCCAGTTTGAGGCTGCTCGTGTTACCGGCACTTGTTTGCAGTAGGGGTTACAAACGGGCGAGAGAGGGAGAAGGTCCTAAGTCTCTGATGGAAGGATCGAATGGAGTTGAGTCTAGTTGAACTCAGTTCCTTTCAGCGTTTTGCCATGCCTTTCGTGGGGCGTCCTGCTTCCCCTTTTATAGATGAAGGGGAAGGTGCATGTTACATGAGAGAAAGAGAGAGAGAGAGAGAGAGAGAGAAGACATGAGGAAGAAGTCCTCTGGCGTCGCGTCGTCCTTCATCTCCTTTATGCGGGTCCTGCTGGTCTTGTAGATGATGGTGGGAATAGCTCCACGTCGTGACCCTGTTCGCCACTACTGCAACACGCGGGCGTCGTCAGCCGGTCATGGCGCCCCATTCTGTCCCGGCAGGCAGCATGGTCAATAGGTACCCCTGACGGAAGTCATACGGGGATTAGGTAGCATAAGCGCGCATCTTGGCACATCTTGGCGATGATGAGATCTCGTGTATGGCGACGTGGCGATCTGTCAAGACACGCCTATGGCTCGTCGTGTCGCAGTCCACAGGTCAAGACACGCCTACTCCCGTAGTGGTTGGAAGTTTGACCACAGGTTCGTAAATCTTTAGGCCCGTAGTGGTTGGAAGCGGTATCCATGCCCCGGGGTCGGGCGAGACGAGACTCAGCCTCCGGGTCGAAATGGAGCTCGAGGGGTCTGGCAAGACAAAGTCCACGCCGAGGGTCAAGCGAGACAGAGCCCTCACCCGCGATCGCCGGGCGTGATAGAGAGCGTGACGAGGTGGGCGAGATAGAGCCGTGCCCTCGTGGCCGGTGTGACAAACACCCTGGGGTCCGGCGTGCGACACGGCCCCGCACTCGGGGGTCGGCGAATTTTGTTCCCCTCACTCGGGTGATGACCATACTTTTGGGGTCGGCGAGACTAAAATATGCCCTCACTATCGAGTTAGCGTTCGGACCATCGACCTTCTTCCGTGTATCCCTAGATCCCCGACACTATGGTCTCGTGCAGCGAGTCTAGAGGGGCTTGCAGTGCCCTCGTCGAGGAGTCTTAGTGATGAGTACTGAGCCCATCTTCCGAGAGGTAGCCGGTAAGTTCGATTTGTGGAGATCTCGGCGTTGGCGATCGACTTCAAATCGACGCGATTCGAACCACGAATCCCGTTACACCACCGCTCCGTTGGTTATCAACCAAGCACAACTTGATTGACCTCGCCAAGAAGGCTTTTCCGGAGCGAATCGAAGCCCATAAAACTTTAATCTGAAATTGCAAATATGACTAAATATCAATAGAGGGTTCGCTCTTCCAACTAATCGACACGATGGAGGAGATCAAGAACGGGCGTTCACTGTAAAAAAGGATTTGTCACCATCAATGAACCTTCTTCTCGATGGAATCCTAAACAAAACCCAATTCGATCCTCGACACTATGGTCTACATGTTTTGGAGTCTAGGAGGGCGATACATGCAAAGTTGGCCCAAATAGGTGACGCAAAGCACCTTGTCGTGGTCACCGAATCGAGGAGTCTTGAGACCAGATCCAAAACGAAGCGTCGTGTCGTCCCCTTCCAACGCATCCAAGAACGGCCCGTTTCGACGTCGACAGGAAGTTATGCGAAATCGTGATGGTGTCGGAATCCGAGGGTGACGTGGCGGTGGCCTCCTCAACTTGTGAAGACCATGGCGTCGGTGTCTTCTTGGTGGCGATGGCTCATCACTTAGAGGTCGGCTCTAGGGGTTGACGCGACACTCTGCGTGTCGATGGTGTCGAAGCCCCTCGAAGAGCGCGTGGCTGGAAGCTTTGTCTTTGTCTTCTTATGTCATGCCCCGGACGTGACCCTGTCAGAGGAGCAGTTGGCAGGGGCACGCCTAGGGAGCGATGCTAGAGAGCCCTCGAGCATCGGTAGCCTGGGGCTTGTCTTCTTGTGCTCGGGCCTTGGCTGGCATCGTTAGTCGGGCAGGAGCCAAGGACCGGGCTGGGTCGTGCCGTAGATCGGGAGCCCAAAGCTCGGGAAAGCCCCCGAGCCCTAGGCGGAAGCTGCGGTCGAGTCAGGCTCAGCCGGGTCTCTTTGCCAGTGGGCACGGTCGATCCTAAAGGGGTCAGTCGGGGGTCTTTTTCGTTCGAGAACCATTGAATCCAAGGTTTAACATACCAGTATGTTAAGATCTCATCACACAGTTAGATGAAAATGAAGCATAAGTTCTCAATGAGAGTTTGAATATGTTTCACACTCTTGGAAACATTTTTCGCTGGGTGTCATCAAGATCAAACCCATCTTAATATGTTTCACACTCTTGGAAACATTTTTCACCGGGTGTCATCAAGATCAAACCCATTTTAATATGTTTCACACTCTTGGAAACATTTTTCACCGGGTGTCATCAAGATCAAACCCATCTTTTCTCTCTCTTCGTAAATTTCTTGTCGTTTGTTACATTTACAGATTTACTTACGTGGCATCTTATTCAATTAATGAGATTGAAACCTCTGAAACCTGGGAATGGCCTAATGCCCCTCATTAGTGTTCTTTGCATGACTATTTAAAAATCATAGTTGTTTTTGGTGAAACAAATAATATACTAACTCATGAGGCGAGGCTCTGGAAGCAAGTTGCCAATGATAAAACTTGATCGGTCTCATAATATGTCGGCCAAGTCTTTTATAGGCATTCATAAAAGTAGAGCGTGTGGTTAAAATTGGACATATTCATACCATGAAGAGATCATAAACAACCATGATTAAAAAATGTATTCACTATTCTAGTTCCATAAAATCGTAACACTAAAAGATTGCCAACTAAAAGCACGTGTGCGTTTGGTAAGATGAAAAAAAAAATCAGAGAACTCCGTTTTGTCCATTCTCAACAGTGGTATACGGTGGCTTCACGTTGCTACTTCTTTAGATGTTACAGGTATTTTGTCCGTTACTCTTATCGTTTTTTTCCCACGTTGCGCAATATTTTGTTGAAAGTAGATGTCACATCATTGTGCAGATACTTTGCTACTTGTCTGGATTTTATTGTATTATCTTGTAGTATTTCCATTCCAACTGCCTTAAAAACTCCAGATTTTTTTTAATCAAAAAAATCCAGATTTCTGTCAGAAAAGGACACGCTGCCGTGCCGCTAGCCCCCCTTCTCACGCGTCTCCATCTTCCCCCTCCCTCTACTGCCGCCAGCCGCGACGAGATATGGATAGAGCGGCCGCGACAGCCGTAGGCATCATCGTCATGATCCCATCGCCCTCACCTTCGCCTTTGTAGCACTGCCTCCTCGTCCACCGGCCCCCTATTTCTTCCCACTCGGGTTGCTAGATCGGATTGGATCCCGTCCGCCCGTTTCCTGGAGGAGAGATGGCCGAAATGGCCGTGACTGTTGTGGCCGCCAACAGCACCCTCCGGACGTGCTCCGGCGTGTCTCCAACGGCGCCCGGCGGCCGCCGTGCTGCGGTTCTTGGTCGCTGGCGGCCTCTTGCGCCAGCCAACTTGAGGTGAGGGCTGAGGGGATTGACCATTGGCCAAGATTCAGTTTTTTGCCATCCCCTTTTCGCTGCACTAAACTCCGCGCCTTCGTTTAGCATTTTTTTTTCTGCCATGCTAGGATGTTTCAAAGGTTGCAGTTGACTTGCAGAGAATATACGTTTGTTCGGTTGGGACTGTACAGTTTAGCTTCATTCTTGAATTTGTTAGAGCAACTTGAAGAGACTCTTTATATCCTTTCTAATCTCTACGAACAGAGACTTTGGTAAAAAAAAAATATCGTCCAATAGCGTCTTTAATTAATATAGCCATATTCCATTCCGGATTACTCTCTAGCCAAAGATAAAAAATAAGAATGACTCTCTGGAGTGCAAACGAGATATAGAAAAACTGTTGGGAGATCGAAAAGATATATAAAGCGATTTTTATGCAAATAGCTCTCTAAATGATAATTTAGAGAGCGGGGCTTGGAGATGCTCTTAGTACAGGATGCTCTTTCATTCACATCATGATGGCATGGCTTGTTTCTTGGATTTTTTTATTCTATTTGAAGCGACGCAGACTATATTACTTGTTGCTTTGCTTAACGAAAAGGAGTTAAAGATTGCAAAGCAGCTTTTGCTTGGCGTCATGTATGGATGATATATTGTGGCTAAGTGGCGGTGCTGATTGGCAAGACCACCAATGTGGTCACGAGGCTGATATCTGTTATAGCTGTATGAGCTGTTCGATGTGTATCAACACATGCATGCCTGCTTTTCATTTCACAGTTTGAGTGAGGCTTGGAAGCCGCTTCCAAAAATTTCCTTACGCAATCATCATTCTTCCAAGCTTGTTTAAGTTCTTAATTTTCTAGTTAATTGCAGGAAAAATATATTAACTTAGTCTGAGAACAAAACACTCTAGCTATATGTCCTTGAACTCCGTCCATATGATATTTTTATGTCAAGAATTTGACAACATATTATCTTGTTTGTGTCTGGCATCATGAATTTGACAGTTTCCATGGTCTTATGTACTAATTTAAACATTCTACAGTTTGCTGAGTCCATTTGCAGCGGCAAGTAGGTATGCAACCGAAAATTGGGGTTTCATTTATTAGTCTATCATATATTAAAAAGCTGAAGTAAGAGTACACTTGTTTGTAGTATTTCGAAAATACTGCATGAATTTTCCTTTGGAGGCTCCTAGTCTAGTTGCTTCAGAGTGCAATGATGTTAATACTAACCTACTGTGTTGTTCAGTCTTACAGTGTCATAGCATAGAACTCCACTATGTTGCTTCTTTTTAGTTTGGAGTGTTTGTAACTGATCTTTTCCTATTTCCAGATTGTCCTCTCCAGCTGTGAGGGTTCCAAGGGCTACTTCTGCTGCGGCGGTTGAGGTACATAGCATAGGTTACCTAAAACATTGGGTGGACTTGCTTGTTCAACTGCGTATACTTTGGTTAGCAGGATTGGAGCAACACTGATATAGTCCCTATCCCGAAAGTTATAATAGATCAAGACTCAGATCCGGATGCAACTATTGTAGAAATAACCTTGGGCGATCGTCTTGGCGAGCTCCTTGATACGGTTTGTTATTCACATAAGATTCTCAGTATATTCTCACCATTGACCAGATGATCTTTTTATTTTTTTTCTTCAAACAGACCATATGATCTTATTAACATCTCCCATATATTAGATCTACAAGAAATAAACTGACAAAATATGCTTTGTTTCACATGCAGATGAATGCCCTAAAGAACTTGGGGCTAAATGTCGTTAAAGCTAGTGTCTGTCTCGATTCTACTGGCAAGCATAACAAGTTTTCTATAACTAAAGCGTAAGTGAATCTTCTTTCCTATGATATTTCATCAGATATGTAAAACTTGACATGAGGAATCTCTCATATAAGTTTAGTCTCCTTGTACAGCAGAATATGACATCTTTCTTCTTTGTACTTTCCTGCATCTATCAGTTCTTGCCTAGAATGAGTGACAGGAATGCTCTACAGGTCCACTGGCCGTAAAATTGATGATCCAGAGTTATTAGAAGCAATTCGACTGACGATCATTAACAACATGATAGTGTATCATCCGGTAACTACTTTAACTTTGTTTTTCCTTTTGCTTTTATAATTTACAATGATAATAATAAAAAAATGTTGTTAATTTGGTGCCAGGAGTCCAGCAGTCAATTGGCTATGGGAGCAACTTTTGGGCCAGAAGCCCCTACAGAAGAGGTATTACCTAAACTATGTCATAAACTTACATCTTCTAAATGCTTAAGATATGAACTGAAAACTTCTCAGTTCTCTATGGAGATCCATGAAACCATCTTACTTGTCTATATCTATCGCGAGAAAGAATTAGCACACAACGGTGTACAAAAGAGACATTTCTTTAGTGTCTCCAAGTTAGCTGTTTATTTCCTTTTTGTCTCTGCTTCATTGCAAAACTTAATTGCGTCAAATTTTCGTATCTGGGTCTCTGGGATCGCCTTATTGCTGGATCCGTTTATAGTAGAACAGACTTGATCAATCTTCCCATGGTACGATAGTGATCAAATTTGCCGCCAAGTGCAGCGTCAGAATTATGTGTCTGTTCTGGAGACATGAAAACCTTCACTGAATATAAACATTGTTCACTTGTACATTGGTAGGTTGATGTGGACATAGCAACCCACATAGATATCTATGATGGCCCTGAAAGAAGGTATGCCGTTTTTCTTACCTTGTGCATCATTCTTCAAATGTAAGGAAAATTATGCTCTTTTGTCATCAATCCAAAGGATTTGATTTCATCCAGCAAAAAGCAACATAAGAACATGTTCACAGAGCTTATATGTGCCCTTTGAATAAAAAACACATTGCCTACATCTACTAGTTACATATGTATATTACTGGGCTGTCCTTGCTTGATCCACTGCTATTGTTTCAGGGACATAAATGCTAGATATACGAAAATGCCTACTCTAGTCTATAATATCAAAGTGATTTTGAATTTCTTTATTGTTCCATTTCAGCTTACTTGTGGTGGAAACAGCGGATCGTCCAGGGTTGCTTGTTGACCTTGTTAAGATCATCTCAGACATCAACATCAATGTCCAATCTGGAGAGTTTGATACTGAGGTGACAACAGTTTTACAAAGTGTATGTTCATGCAAGGAACCATATTCATCTCCTTACATTTTATACTCTTGTAGGGGCTACTGGCTAAAGCAAAATTCCATGTCAGCTACAGGGGCAAACCACTGATGGAGGCTTTAAAACAGGTAGGCGTTCAATGCCCGTTCTTGGGGTTTTCCTATACACCTGATTCTCATAGAACTCGTGTCAGCACCACATTTTGTTGCCACATTCTGATTTATCTCATATCTTCAGGTTCTTTCTAATAGCTTGCGCTATTTCTTGAGGCGGCCGACAACAGAGGACGCCAGCTTCTAGCCAGATGATCATGAAGCCTCCCAACTTTCTTATGAGATGGGATTCACATGAGCTGGATACCATCATCAAAGCATTTGAAACACGTACAATAATTTGTTAAGATCGGGGAAGTATACTTGATGTTATGACACCACCACTTGAAGTGCAGGAGATTGCTATTCTTAAGCATGTAATAACACATGATTATTTTGCTACCTGGGATACATGTTTGGTGGTAAATATAAATAAGATGGAACATTGTGGGGGGCCATCATCCCGTGTCTGGATGCAAACATATACCCTTCTATTGTCAGATTAATGAAGTTACCAACAACAGTCTTGAGCTTAAAACTAAGAGCTTCATCTCTTTTTTTTTTCTATAAATATTGCTATGCTAACTTATTAAATAGTACTGATGAAACTACCTGTCTAAAAAATCAATTCGCAGTGACGGGCCCAACGCCACTGGCTGCCTACCCAGGCTACGACACGCTGCACGCATATGGTTGCTTTCTTGCAGCAGGGGAAAGGAAGCCCAGCTCCACCGGCTACATCTCAACGGAGTTTGCATTTGCATAGCTCTCCTACCTCTCCTCGGTCGGACGCGGACGGACCACGGTGGAGCAACCTTCCTTAGCCCGGAAGCTACCATAACTAACTCCTTGACTCCTATTCCAAGTCCACCTCCCCGTCCAACCAAAACCCCCAACGCCACGCCACCACACCCCGCCCCGCCGCGCCGGCAAGCATTCCGTCAAACACCTCCCTAGCTCCTCCCCGTCGCCGCTCCCGTCACGCCTCCTCTGCGCGCCGCCCCTCTCCCCACGCGAGCCCCAACCGTCTCCTCCGTCCTATATATCAGCCACCTCGCCCCACCACACGCACACCTGACACCTCAACTAACTACCTGCTGACAAGATGGCCTCCACCTCCGCCTCCCCGTCCGCGTCTGCGACCGAGCCTGCTGCAGCGACCGCACCGGCGCCGGCGTCGGCTCCTGAGGGTGATCCTCCAGTTACCGTCCTGCCGGCGGGCGAGGGAGGCCCCGAGATCGCCTTCTTCGACGTCGAGACCTCGGTGCCGCAGCGGGCGGGCCAGGGCTACGCGCTGCTCGAGTTCGGCGCCATCCTCGTCTGCCCGCGCAGGCTCGTCGAGGTCGCCTCCTACGCCACGCTCGTCCGCCCCGCCGACCCAGTCTCCGCGGTCTCGGCAGCCTCCGTGCGCTGCAACGGCATCACAAGGGACGCCGTGTCCGGGGCGCCGCCCTTCCGCGACGTTGCCGACGCCGTCTACAACCTCCTCAACGGTGAGCTTCTTTTTCCCCACGCCGCGACTCGCTCCCTTGTTCCGTTCCATCGTATCTTCAGTTGCAATTGTTCATGGATCGATTCATTAATTAATTAGGGATACGAATTGCACATGGACAGAAATGGCCACATTCGTTGCATGAAACTGTTCTCATCCTAGCCACATGGACGAAAGTCAAGGAATGGCCTTGTTCTAATGAATGCTATAACTTCCTTATAATTGATCTTCCTGTTCCTGGAATTGAAATCATGTTCAAGCAAGTTATTTAATCATTATAAATCATGTTCCTGGAATTGAAATCATGTTCACATTTGTCATTAGTTTGAAAGGAATCATTGGAGCATAATCTATCTGATAGCAGTATCTTGTTATGTACAAACCTAATCTTTTCATGGAGAAGCTGCACTGAAATAACTCTTCTGAACTCTTGACAGGGCGGGTCTGGGCAGGGCACAACATTGTGAGGTTTGATTCTGCAAGAATAAGAGAGGCATTCACTGAGATTGGCCGGTCACCTCCTCAACCCAAGGGGATGATTGACACCTTGCCTCTGCTTACCCAACGGTTCGGAAGGAGAGCAGGGGATATGAAGGTATACAACTGTTGACCCAGAGTTAGCCTGTAATTTAGAGAAGCGTGTTTTAGACAGAGATGATTAATAATGATAGTTCAATTTGTATCATAGTTAAAACTAACAGCAATCTCTAGTGAAATTTGTCTGTCCCTTCTAACATTGAAAGGGATATCTGATGTTCTGTCCTTGTCTGTTTACCTCCAGATGGCAAGCTTGGCAAATTACTTTGGCCTAGGGAAGCAAAGACACAGGTTGGTATCATGCCAATCCTAGTGATATCAGTACATCTCAATTTTAATCACTTCCTTTCAATGTCTACTTTTCATTTACACCTTTTCCCCTTTTTTTATTATAAAACAAATATTCACCCTTTGAATCACTTCAGTTTGTTGAAATTGGCTTGTAATCCTTTTAGCTTGTATTTGGTTACCCATTTTAGTTGGCACATCTTGTGTAACACAACACAACATGCGCCAACTATAAGTGTAGATCTAGCTATACGATGAATTTGATTGGAGAATGTTGCCCTTCACAATTTTAATTAAGCATCCATCTGTTCCAGGATGTCCAAAGCCATCCCTTCTAGGTTTGGGGATTCCCTCATCTGGATGGATTATTATCCAAAATATGATACAGCCTATGATGGTTCTTTCCTTTAGATAGATCATGCTGAATAGATGCCATAATTCTATGGTTCATCAATGTAACTCTGCTACCTGTTTGGATCAGCTATGGCTAATTATTAGCAAGGGCTAAAAATTAGCCATCTAACTATGAGCTCATGCATGTTTGGATCCCAGGCTAAAAGGTGCACATATTCCTAGCAATGAACTATTAGCCCTTGTTAGCTAGTTGTACTTCGCTAATGAACTAACAGCTAGCCAAGGGCTTGGCTAAAAAATTAGCCCACCCATTAGCCCTCCTGTTTGGATGGACTAGAGCTTTTTTTAGCTGCTAGTTGTTGCCCATGGGATCAAACAGGTCCAACATGTCAAATCTCACTCAAAAAATTGCCTACCTGACATGAATGTCTTCTAATAAAAATATTATTCAATAAACTCCAATTTCTGCAAAAACAAATCCAATGATTGTTGATAGGATATTAGTTACAACTTACATGTTGAGGTTCCCCTTGTTTGTTTGATTTTATTTTGGCCTGCACAAAGCTAGACTGGATGATCTCCCACTAAATTTGTTGGTAATTTACCTACAGGAGTCTTGATGATGTTAAAATGAACCTCGAAGTTCTCAAATACTGTGCTACAGTCCTGTTCCTGGTATGTTTTCCCCATGCCTGACTAATTTCATCAACTAGGCAGTCCCAGCCACATAAATCTGTGCTTTTTTTTTTTGCATTAAAGCACTGATGAAATTTTCTCCCATACTGTGGCCTCCCATGTATTGAGGCATCTGAAGTGGGAAAAGCTCAGTTCCTCAATCAATAACTGAAGTTTAGCTATTGGAATGTAGGTCTTATGTTAAAGATTTTTATTATGATACCATACATGTTGTAGCTCAGTTCTGATGTTGCAGTTGTTGGTTTTCTGCAAATAATTTGCAATCTTGCAAGAAATTTATATAACTGATACCATAACTCACATTCCATTGCACCTTGAATTACTATAGAAACAGTAGCCCTTGCAAAGAGTGAGCCATATTGCTGCTGTGGTAATAATTTGAAAACTCCTGCTTCATATGGAAATTTGTACATCAGTTCTGATTGTTGCAGTTGTGAGTTTTCCACAAGTAATTTGAATTCAACTAGGAATTTACCACAGCTCATGTCCAATTTTACAACTTGAATTACTGCAGAAATAATATCCCTACAAAGAAATGGAATCAGCATGTTGCTGCCGTATATTTGTAGAGTTAATTGTTTGTTAAATGTTGAAGTTAATCTATTAGCTAAACCCCAAAGTTATTCTGACAGGAGGCAAGTCTTCCAGAGGTGCTCACTGTTGAGAATCTGGTTGAACGTGCAACAACAAGGAGCCGAGCTAATGGTACTGCATCCCCTGATTTGCCAAAACCTGAAGCAAACTCTCCACCGGATTCATCAAAAAGGCAACGGATAGTTTCTCCAGTTGACTGTGTGATGCCTGAGGAAGGTAATCAAAGAACAAGTGATCCTTCTACCAACAGGGAATCTGTTGAGTTGGTATCCCACATTGAGGAGATGAAGCTAGATACCACCACGCATATGGATGCAAGTTCTAGTGGTTATTCTGGATTTCTTGAGCCAGATGATGTTTCCATTGAATGTATTGAAATCTCAGTTGCTCCATTACACGAATTTGGCCGAAGGTCATCTATCCAGCACAGAGATTGCCCACTACAACTTTGTTGTGCAGGCTTGAAAGTACAGTTTGGTGTCAGTACAAAGTTTCTTGATAATGCAGGGCGGCCAAAGATGAGCATAGTGGTTGAGATCCCTGAGAGTCTCAGTAAAGTTTTGGAATTCTGCGATGATCTTGCTAGGAAGTTATCTCAGGAATCTGGTAGCAGTTCTGAATGGAGACCCCTGATTAAGAAGTATGGATACGTTAATCGTCCGACTGTCCGCCTGAAGTGAGTTCTACTCTTTTCTTTGAATAATATTCTTTTCTTCCATTTTCTACCTTGGTGTGGTCATGATGTTTTCCTGAGCTCTAAGGATGGCCTTTCCGTGCAGCATCCCTACTATTGCAAACAGCGATGCTACGGCCTACTCAACTGATATATGCAAGAAAAAGCCTAGTGGCAGCATCCAGAAACTTGATTTCAGCAATGTAGCCACCACAGAATTGGACTCCCTGTTTGTTAAAGGGAACAAGGTGGACGCGTTCTTCTCACCGGAGCTATACGATTACCAGCAAAATGCTGGCATTCGGCTGGTTGCAAAGAGGCTGGTTGTACACTCGAATTAGCACCAGGCTCATTTATTATAATTATAATTCTAGTGCTAGAAAATAACCCTTGCACTGATTTAGGGGCCTTTAGGCCACCTTATGTCTTTAACCAACTGTAGTTTGTAGATTATGCTGTGAATACGTGTAAGATCTGGCCACAACCACAAGCAGATATTGACGTTAAATTAGAATTCAAATGTTGCAAAAGGTTTTAACAATCTGTGCTATTCATTTGTGAATAGAATGCCCATTTGTTACTCTTTCTTCTTACTATATTCTTCTTACTATATTCTTATTTGCGCATTCCCTATACTGTACATCATGTGCACTATTCTGCTGGATTTTCATAGCTTGGTTTCTACCGGGAACATTTTCGTATCTTTATCATCGACACATCATCATCATAAAACAAAATCGTAATACTTAAGTAATGGAGAGTAATTGGTGACATAGTAGCATTAGGACACATCGCAAGCTTCCATGGACAAAATGTCCTTTAGAATATAATTTTAACAGGTAACTTCAGAGCAAACTCTGGAGCGCGAGATTTTCATCTGGCCTGACCAGTTGCACTTCAATCAATAAGATGCTGCACCATGCACCTGTATATATAAAATAAAAATGAAGACAAATCTTACAGCTTACACATATATACATACACGATTTGTGTTTATTATCAATGGTATACTTCAGTAATCATGCACGCGAATAATCAGTAATCATGCACGTGAATAATCGACGTAGTGTTGACAGAAAAAAGGTTCTGCATTACTTGTATTTGGTTGTCTCTTTCTCCCTCAACCTTATTCTTTGGGTTTGATCTCGATCTATAATTTGGTGGTGCTCCAAGGACAAGGAAGTGCCTCTACACCTTCATCTACCTCTTGGGAAGTGGGGTAATTAGCATATCTGAAATTGAAGTTCATTTTTCTCTGATTTCGTAGCCTTCTATAGGTGTCGGAACTTCCAATAGGCGTCGGAAGTTTTGGCCCAAACTTCGGAACCTCCGACAGTTACTAATCTGTTGATTTCAAGTTTACGTTGAATTTGCTACACCGCATCTGCTGTGTTTGACTACATCAACAGGGCTTGGTTAGACCTAAGTAACAGCGCCACTGGTGGCCTTGATACCAGTCCCACTGAAGGCCTTGTTTGGATGCATGTTCAATCCACATGTGTTGGAGTGGAATGAAATGGAATTTAGTTTAATTCCACTCCAATCCACTTCAATCCATATGGATTGAGATAAATATATGCGCATCCAAACAAAGCCTAAGGGTACAATTTCCTAACTATTCTATAATGGTTTATTCTATTCATTCCAGTACTACTTCCCACTACATATGCTAGTTTATGAGAAATAGCATGCTTCATGTCATGATTTATATTCGGAACATAATCTTTCAAATGCCTAATTTTCCAACACATAATTCATCTCAATTTTTCATATACAGCAACAAACAACAGAGCATGGATCTATATATATAGCCAGGATTCATAGTCCTATGATATATAAACCCATGTATTATTTCACATACATGAGAAATAGAAACGGAAACACTACTACATGGTCACCGACACATCATCATCATGATAAAAAAAAACCAGAATACTTCGATATTGGAGAGTCACGGGCGACACAGTAGCATTAGGGCACATCGCAAGCTTCCATGGACAAAATGTCCTTTAAATTATAAATTTAGCAGGTTACTTTAGAGCAAACTCTCCGGCGGGAGATTTATTTTGATCTGGCCTGACCTGTTGCACTTCAATAAACTGCTACACCATGCACCTGTATATATAAAATAAAAATGAAGGCAAATCATACAAATTGCACATATATATACACGATACACGGTTTGTGTTTATTATCCATGGTCCTTTAGTAATCATGTATGGTCGATTTCAAATACTCTGGAATACTGGAACAGCTGTGTAGTACATGGCATTGTGAGATGACTAGTTTGCACCTAAATTAAGTTTGTAACCTACTACATGCTCAGGGGCGAAGCTAGAGCATCAAGGACCCGAGTGCACACTTCATAAGCATAATGATTATCTTAGAAGAGTGACGGTACATAAACAATAGAATTGCATAAATTCTTACCAAAATGCTGGATCCGAAATATTAATAGTTAATTCAGATAAACACCCAAAATTTACATGGTCTACATGACAAAATACATATTAAGCTGAAGTCCTCGATGAGTCAATTACCTATGACAACTACTAGTTAGATGACTAAATATGTCGAGAAAAGACGGATTCAGAACTGAAAAACGATAAAATATGAAAGTAATGCATCATCTCTAGTATTTGCGATCTCTCATTTTCTTGAAACGATCCACTACAGCAGCATTGGTAACTTTCAACATTTTCTCTTTCTCCACATAACGAATGAGACTATTACTCATGTACTGATCACCCATACGGTTGTGCAAAGATGTTTTCACTATCTTCATGCCTGAAAAGACCCTCTCTCACTGTAGTTGTGGCGACGGGCAATACAAGTACTAGCTTCAATAGCCGATAAACTAAAGGATAGGTAAGATGTTTCTTTGTGTCCACCATTTTTTTGAAAGCTCAGCAATGGTTTTTATGTTAAGAAATCTATCATCCTATTGCACATCACCAATATAATGGAAAAGTTCAAAATTCAGATCTCTCAATTGCACGGAATCAAAGTCACTTGGGTATAGCTTAGCTAGGCTTATCAAACTATCCACGTTGAAATCATGAAATGAATCTCTTGGGTTGAAAGCAACTGAACATACTAGCAATTGAGAGGCAGTCTCATTGAAGCGACTATCAAACTCTTGTAGCAACCAATCAAAGACTTCATTAAAACAATCAACTTGAAAATGATGCTTGTTGGTAATTCTAGATTTTTTTTCTTGGCCTAGTTGGATCAATGTAAGGCTCATCCATTTCTAGCTTGGAAATATCATGTTCATCACAAAATGCATACACTTCTCCAAGTGTTTGCTCCCATCCATCTCTTCTAACCTTATCTAAATGGCTTCTAGTAGATCTCACACAATTAACAGCATTCACAATATCTTGATCTTTCCGTTGCAATGCATTTGACAAGACATTTGTGATAGTCAAAATGTTCAACATGAGATACAAATAAAAGACAAATTTAAAAGACTGGAAGTACACAAGAACGCCCCTTGCCTTTCCATCCTTGTCCTCATTTTCCATAAATTCCAACACTTTGATAATTGTTTGGAACAAGTTAACTAGACTTCTAAGAGATTTATAGTGAGAACTCCAACGAGTATCTCCAGGTCTTTAAAGACATTATTTTTTATTTAATCCTATCCCAGTTTCAAGTAACCCACGACCTAAGGCCTTACTAACTTCTTTGAGATTGATGTCTCTAATCATGTCCCTTCTCTTTGAAGATCCACCCACCACATTCAACAAGGTAGAAATCTTGCTAAAAAATTCTGCAATGCCTGTATGCTTTCTAGCAACAGTTACAACCACTAGTTAAAGTTGATGAGCAAAGCAATGGACATAATATGCACTACTATTTTCTCTCATAATCAATGATTTTAAGCCATTAAACTCACCTCGCATATTACTAGCACCATCATATCCTTGGCCTCTCACTTGCTTTATGCTCAGCTTGAACCTAGCAAATAGAGAATCAATAGATGACTTGAGGTTTGCAAAAGTTTCATCCTTCACATGAACAAGCCCAACAAAGCTCTCCTTCAGAACTCTACACCTATCAACATATCTCAGCACCACAGCCATTTGCTCCTTGTAAGAGACATCTCTAGACTCATTAACTAGCAAGCAGAATACATCTTGCCATATGTCTTCAAGGATGTATTGCAAAATCTCATATGCAAAACATTTAATGATGTTTTTTTGTATGTCGAAAGACACCAAAAGACTATTGTCTGTACAGAAAGGCCATCCTTTGAGTTGTTGAGTACACATTTTTGTTTTACAATTGACCTCTACCAGCAACCAGCTACTCCAATAGTACCAGCTACTCCAATAGTACTGAGTACTATTGGAGTAGCTGGTTGCTGGTAGAGGTCAATTGTAAAACAAAAATGTGTACTCAACAACTCAAATATTCTCTTATTTTATTGTTCTTCTACTTATCTATATTGGTTAAACAAAAAGTTTAGAAGTGGTTTACAAGAGGTAAATGAAAAAAAATAAGGAATGTTTTTAGCAAAGGGTTAAGGACACTTATTAGAAGTGAAATATGGGTATAACATTGTGCTTTATTTAGCGAGTTGTACTTACCTATGTTGATGTTTCTAGAGTGTAGAATATATGAATATCAAGCTCTTTTACGATATCAGTGATGCTGCTCATGGTTCTTTGGACATCGTTGTACTTGATATTACCATGTGCATTAGTAAATGTTCCGGTGCCACCCATAATGGACCACGGACCACCCGAGGGCCTGGGAGGGAGAGTGATCCCTAACACTTCGAGTGTGGATCCTGCAAAACTATTTCATGCATGCAAGTGCCATTAACAATTATATTAATAACTGTATGAACATAAAAACTAAAGAAGAAGATGCATATTAGGGATAGAAACACCCAAGAAAAAAAATCAATATTTTAGGATTCTCGACATCCATTAGCACCCCCTATTTACCATCCTCTTGCACATGTTGTACACACCGTTTTGTTGAAAAAAGGGCTTCAAATGGCTGGTCCATTCCTCATCGATTTATCAATTTGGATGTTATTCCATCCATTCCAATATATAGGTTGTCTTGGCTTTTAAAATACATATGTATCAAGACATAACCTATATCTAGGTCCATAGGAAAGCTATATAATTAGAAAAGCTAAAATGACTTATAATTTGGGATGGATTGTTAGTAGTACATGGTTAAACTAGTGTCTTTTGGAGGACCTATCATAAGCATTGCAAATCACAACATTCCGTTGAGACATGATAATCATATTTGACCAAAGGAGAAGTTAAACATAGTGAGTTTTGACCGCTAATCTGATAACATAGAGCCAATTGCT